TGTTCTCCGCTTCCAGGGGTTGAGAGAGGAAGATGGAGAGAGCCTTAGAGACATACTAGCAACTGCTCTTGCACCACTGGTTGGCATTGAAGCGGATAAACTAAAAGAAGAGATGGATTTGGCCTATCGGGCCTACTCCAACTATACAAGGAAAAACAAGTTGCCAGCTGAAGTGGTGGTGAAATTCTCAAAACAACGTCTCAGGGATCAAATTTTAAAGTCTACATCAGCAACACCCCTGAAAATCGGGGATCAACAAATTAGAATTCTGAAAGATGTTCCATTTGAAATCAGAATGAAAAGAAAAGAATACAAAGGACTGACCACCTTCTTACAAAAAAGACAAATAAATTACAAATGGCTGATTCCAGAAGGACTGGCTTTCAAGTTTAATGATAAGAGAGAGAAGATTGACTCCATCTTCAAGGCTCAAGACTTTTTGAAAAAGCACACCAGCAAAGAAGAAGGTGCAGAACTGGCAAAGTGGATGTCGACGTTAAGCGTAGAAGACAGCAGCTCGGAAGGGGAGGCCAAGGACGAGGAAGAAGGAGGAGCGTCGGGTTCAAAGTATAACCTGAGAGAGAAAAGTGGAAGGAACTATAAAACTTAAAAACTGTCATCTTTCTCTTTTTAGGGGACTTTATTCTGGAAGAATAAATTGGCAGATGCCAGAAGGATAATACTAACACACTAATTACCTTGGTTAACACTACTGGAAGAAAAGAAGAAGCTTCGGTGTAGAAGAAAATTGTGGACTCTCTGATTTGATTATAAAAAGATTTAACAGATTAGCAGATTACGAATACCACTCACTCTTTTCTTTGTCCCTCTTTATACTTTCCCCTATTTCCAATTATCAGTGAAATATCTCCCCTTTTTAGGGGAGCGAATAAATCGTATTAAAAAAAGAAAAGAAATGGAGAAGTAAAACAAGGAGCTGATTTGAAGCAGGGAAAAGTCCCTCCCCCTCCCCCACGTTATTGCCTATGCCCAGGGGTCGTTTGGTAGAAAAAGAGCTAGGGGAACTCATTAGCATATGCCACACCCCCTGACATCGCCAGAAGTGTGTCATAAGGCCACACCTCCTGACATCACCGGAGGTGTGTCATAAGGCCACACACCCCGCCCCCAACGGTCCCGGCCGCCGCCGCTGGCCTTGCAGCTCCACTGCCGAGCCCCATGAGGGGCCTGGCGGTGGACCTGCAAGGCCGGCGGGAGTGCAAGGAAGCCCCGCAAAGGCCCTCCCTGGCCCCAGGCAGGCAGCAACTTACCCTCCCTCTTCTCCTGCCTCCTCCTGGCTGAATGAGGGCCAGAAGCAGGGGGCGGGGCTTCGTCATGTGCCCCGCCCCCCGTACCTCACCTGGGGGAACTGCGATCCCCCCCGAAATGACCTCTGCCTATGCCCAATGCAGTATTTTCAGTAACTGGGCTTCTTGACCGAGAAAATGCCATTGCTGAGCAGCAGGAGTGTTGCAAAAGTGTTTCCAGAATTACTGCAGCTCTCATGGCTGAGTTGAGCCAAATGCTGTTGGGGGTGGCAAGCTGCAAGAAGCAGGGGCTAATTATTAGGAAAAAAATGTTTTCAAAACTCAGTAGCTGAAATTAAGCACTAGGGTCTAAAGTGGCAGTTTCTTACGGCGCCAAGTACCTATGGCTTTAAAATCCCTGTTGTGGTAATGATGCGCGTGGCTCACTGTTGAAGATATTTTTATAGAGGCTGCATTCTGTAACTGTATTTTACGGTGTATGAAAATAACCTTTTAGGATATGGATTGGCAGCTCCCCAGAATACGTGGTAGAGCTGTGGAGACATGTGCAGTGGACATTTATTACCTTTGCTGTGTTGCATTTTCAAGGGTGCATGCATCACTCTGACAGGTGACCCACAGAAACCAAGAGCATGCCACTTGCGTTCCTTTGAAGACCATTGCAAAGCTGTGTTTGGCTTTATCTGAGCTGGATTGCATCTAAACTCCTCAGGCCAGTGATCGCGGTCTCCACTCCCAGTTTATCCTTCATTTGACCATAGGTGGACAATTTGTATGCATGTTTAATTTGCTTGTGTTGGTTCAGCTCTGTCCATTGAAATGAATAAAGACTTCTGTATACACTTCTGCATATGCATCAAAGAGGGCATTCAGAAGAGCGTACCGATAAAACACAAGAAGAGAGAAGAGATTGGATTTATACCCTGCCCTTCACTCAGTCTCAGAGCGGACTACAGACTCCTTTCCTTTCCCTTCCCCTCCCCACAACAGACACCCTGTGAGGTAGATGGGGCTGGGAGAGCTCTTTCAAGAACTGCCCTTTCAAGGACAGCTCTTGTCAGAACTATGGGTTGCCCAAGGTCATCCAGCAGCTGCAAGTGGAGGAGTGGGGAATCAAACCTGGTTCTCCCAGATTAGAGTCCACACACTTAACCACTACATCAAACTGGCACTACACCAAACTGAAATGGGATATGCAGTTATTGTTGTGTAATGGTTGTTTTCCTTAGGAGCCTGGTAGATATAATAGAACTTTGAAGGATGATAAAACAAGATCCCCGTAGAACAGGGGGTGGCCAAACTTGCTTAACGTAAGAGCCATATAGAATAAATGCCAGATGTTTGAGAGCCCCAAGACATGGCAAATATTACACACATTTTTATTGAAAAATATGCAGATTTGCTTTTTATTAACATTAAATGAGACTGCCAAAAATAAAAACAAAAGGGGTAAAAACAGATATTGATTTGTCCAATGATATTTATTTGTTTGCTATTGATATTTATTAGTCTAAAAGAGAGAGAAAGAGAGAGGTGGAAAGAAAGAATGAGGAGTAAAGAGAGAGAGAGAAAGCAAATAGATGGGGGAGGAAGGGAGAGAACGAGAGAAAGAAAGAACGAATGCACGAAAGAAAGAAAATAGATAGAAGGAAGAGAAAACAAGTAAGGAAAGGAGAAAGAGAAAAGTGGAAAGGAGGAAGGAAGGGGAAAGAGAAAGTGAGAGAGGTGGAAAGAAAGAAAATAAATGGGGAGAGGTGGAAAGAAAGCAACTTTAAATTTGTTCACCAGCGCCCCCCATGCCCCCACGCCAGCCACCTTGGCTTGGAGAAGGGATTTAAAGAGACAAATGCCTTCTCCAAGACAGCAGGCAGGGCCGTGGGGTGGGGACTTGGAGAACACCTTTAATTTTAAATGTGCTCTCCAAGCCCCCTGCCCCTGCTGTGGCACTGGCTTGGTGAAGGGATTTAAAGAGACAAATGCCTTCTGTGAGCTAAGCCAGCCAGCAGGTGTGATGGCGGGGTGGGGCTTGGAGAACACATTTAAATTTAGATGGGCAGGGAGGAGAGAAAGAGAGAAAGAAAGGTGGAAAGAAAGCAAATAGTGGGGGGGGGAGGTGAAAAGAAATCAACTTTAACTTTAAATGCATCCTCCAAGCCCCCCCCCCACTGACTGGCTTGAAGAAGGGATTTAAAGAGACCAATGCCTTCTCCAAGCTGGCTGCCACGGGGGTGGGGGGCGGCCTTGGAGAACACATTTATTTTCCTCCACTTCAAGCCTACCCAGGGAGGGGAACACTAGCTGGGGAAGGGAAGACAGACTGGGGAGGCATACTTCCCCAGCTGCCCTTCTGGGAGCTGCACAATATGCATGAAACAGCCGCATGTGGCTCCTGAGCCAGTTTGGCTCCCCCTGCTGTCGAATATGTTAACCAGCATAGCACTGCGTACGTTCTGCTGTTGGCTTAGTTTCTTTTCTGTTCCTTTGCAGGCTGTTCTCCAAACACCAGTACTTCGATTCAAGAGGAATGTTTATTTCCTTAATATTTTCAGTGCCCTTGCTGCTAAATGCTATCATAATTGTGGTAAGTGCTAATCTGTCACTTTACAAATGCAGGCCCTTCATAGCTATTGGCCATGTCACACGTCAACATTTTGCCTTGATTTCCAGATTGCATGGGTTTACAAAACACTGAACGTGATGACTGAACTAAAGACCTTGCAGCAGAAAAGGAAAGCGAAAAAAGAAAACAAGAAAAGTAAATGAATCGGATTGTCTTCCGGAATTTCCTTGGGGACTGCCATACTGTTGTCCTTCACAGTGTGATCTTTTTGAAGATTTGCTTGTCTGTGCTGACCTCTCTTACAAGTATACTGTCTCCATTCGTTCACTTTCCGTTTGAATGCCAGTCATGTCACAGCTTCTTTTGCGGTCCACTGTGTAAAATAGCTTATTCTGAGCAAGTAGTAAAGCAACTTCAATTATACACTGGACATAAATTCACATTTAAAAATTGAGGTACCACTTCTGCATCCAGGCTAATGGTGGATTTTGTGCAGCTGCCAGCAACCATGTCAAAATGCTAATGAGATGCAAAAAGATATCTGTCTTTAATATGTTATTGATTTAGCTGTTTTGTCTCCTGCGGGTTGGATGGTCATTTTAAAGAACATGGGTACCACTTCATCGAGCAACTATCAGCTATGCTAACTTTCTGTTCTGTGTTAACTGTGACACCAAAATAATTTGTGAACTGGGTTCTGTAAAAAAACCCAACAACCTTGGTCCTATTCTCCGTTTTCAATTTGCAGAACGGGGCAATTCCCTCCTCCAACTGCTGACCCCCTGTTCTTGGGGATCACTACCCCCCCCCC